CGCCTCATGGCGGCCCGCCTGAAGCTGGTGGTCGTGGGCGACGGCGGCTGCGGCAAGACCTCGCTGCTGCTGGTCTACGCCGAGGGTGCATTCCCCGAGGTGAGCCGCGCCCCCGGGGCCGGGCACGACAGAGGGGCCGGAGCGGGAGGGGGGCGGGTGACAGCACGGGGCAATGGGCTTGGACTGCAGCGAGGAAAGTTGAGGCTGGAGATTGATCCCCGCGTTTCCTCGCGCACAGCGCTACGCCCCGTCCGTGTTCGAGAAGTACAGCACCACGGTCCAGGTGGGCAGCAAGACGGTCGCCCTCGACTTGTACGACACCGCAGGTGAGACAGTCGCCACCTTGGTGGGGTCGGGGGGGTGGTTATCGTCTCAGCGGTGGAGGGGGGCAGCGACTCGGGTCGGGCTCCATGATCCTCATTTCCACGCTTGACCAGGCTGGGTCGGTGGCATAGCACGTTTCGGTTCAGTTTGTTCCATTTCAGCGTAGTGCTGTGCGTTCGCATTGAAATTTAAGAGAGGCCCAAACGCCCCGAAATAATGAAATCACGGCTGTTGTGACTAGTGAAAAGACTGTCACTGTCTAAATGAATTTGCATTTTTATTCATGGATTTGTTCTTAATGGTACAGTCGACGAAGGAAGTGGCACTTAATAGTGAATATATCTGAAGGTATTAAAAATCCAGTGCCCGGAAGCAAAACGTAATGTAATCAACCAGGAAAACGCGTTAATTTCCTACCATGTGTAATCAAAAACAATAAAAGAGGTTTTAAAAAAACCCATTAGTGTTCAAATTAGAAAGCCCCAAGTGCTAAATGTATTTGCAAACTTTGATAGGTTTTTTTGTGGTTTCCTCTCGGGGATCCGTGGAACGGTTTGTATTCGATTTACGGGGTCAGCGACTCTCGCTCATCCAGTCGCATTCGTAAGGGCCTCAACATTTCAGACAGCGCGAGCTGGGAAATTGAGTGGAGTTCTCCCAATATACACGTGTGTGATGGAAAGGTGAATTTGGGCCACTCAGGGGATTGTTGTTATTTATACTAGTGCATTTGTGCTTTTGAATCCACTGTAAGGCATTTGAATCGTCTTTTAGTGGTACCCTTTGATAGAGAAATTATCTTTACAGGAAACTTTTTATCCAGTGCAGTAAGATCTTGATTACCCACATTTCTCTTAAGAAATTCCTAGTATGACTCTGTGTTTAACAACAAGAGCATCAAGAAACAAAATGATATGGATAATATCTGCCCTACTGTGCAGCAGGCTCTCTTTACTAAGTGTTACACTCTGGAGTTAAATACCTAAGTTATATCTCAAAAAGGGCTCTTCTTTTTTTCTTAAAAAAAATGCATCTGAGTGCATGATGGTGGTGCCATCATCCTCCCTTTTGTTGCTAGAGCCCTTGCCCACCACATGGCAGGCTCTGACTCAGTCCTCCTCTGCATGAGAGTTTAAACTCAGTCTCGCACTTTGCAGGTGAGTGCCCGAAATGTCAGGCTGCTCTGGGTTTGGGGCAGGGTCTGCCCCTCCCATCAAAGCTTGTGCCACTTTGCTGAAAAGAATTCAAGATTCACGAGATTAATTGGATCAGAGAGGAGGAAAGAGACTGATCATGACTCTCTAGCCTAGTGGGTAGGGACACCCCCTGGATGTTGTGATCCACCCTCGCAGATCTGCTTGTTAAGATTGTCCCCCCAAGTTGAACAGCCTGGCCCATCAGATTCACCTTTCCTGAACTTCGTTGTTTACTTCACATAAGACGCGTCTACATGTGCTCCCCCTCCTATACCATTTAGTACTAACTGCGCGGTCCCGGCGGCACAACCCTACTGCGCAGTAGCTCGTTACTGCACGGTAGCATCGGCATCGCAGTTTGTGTCTGCCAACACTACGTTGCCATAGTGTCTCATGGAGATGTGCCCAGTATGGATTTATCATTTCCACACATCCTTTAAAGTCCAGTCCTCTTCTAACAGGCAAAACTCCAATTGATTTCTTCATATGCAGGATCGAGGCCCAGAATTGTGTCTCTCGTCTTGCAAATCTTGATAGTGCCGTACAAGAAGTAGGTTTAAAAAACCTTTTCAGTAGAACAGTATCGGAGAATGGCGTTTGATCTTCTGAAAAGTAAATGCCGAGGTATTTGTTTTCAGACAGGAGATGTTATTACATGATCACAGTTCCATTACATTGATTTTATTTCTGTCATATACTACAAGGAATGGATGCTAAATCATTTCATCAGATGAATGTAGATGCACCAGAGTGGCAGCTGTGTCTGGTAGAATTATGGAAATGCTGCATTTCTGCTGGCACAGAGAGAGGAACAAGTGCAGGCCACAACCCAGTGGAAATCAGCTTAGTCATACAAGTAAAATGATTTGAAAGCATAGTATATTGGCTGCAGTTTATGGAAAAAAAATTGATTTGCTTGGGCTCTTGAGTTTTAATTTTATCCTGGTCATGCTGCCATCTGACAAGCTGACCCAGTTACTACTTGCATACTGGTCTACATTTTCAAGAGTGCCAAGTGATTATGGGATGCCCCCTTTTTCAGTACCCAACCTGAGGCCCCTCAAGGGTCTCATTTTTACAGGCAAGATACTCAGCAGGTTGTCAACCTACTAAGCTCGCTCAAGACAAGTGTCCAATCTCACCTGATAACTTTTGAAAATTCTCCTCGCTCCATTTTATTATGATTGGGGCATCTATAGGTATGCCATTTTGTAAGCTGCATTAGTAAAGTTAAACTGTCTTTCTTAGCTATTTATATGGCCCCATGGCTGTAATATCTGAGTGCTTCACAATCTTTAATGCATTTATTCATAACAACACTACCATGAGGTATGGAAATACCATCTGTAACAAAGGGATAAAGCATAGAGAGCCTAAGTGACTTGCTCTGGAAGTTGACCTAACCATTGGACAGTTCTTCCTTTAAATTGTCTCAAAGCCAGTAGGAAAGTCCTTCCAGATACTGACTGAACAGTGTCAGTGGCCTGTTTTGAATAGCAATAAGCTAAATTAATGTCTGGGGCTTACATGTGCAAACTTACTCTTGGAGATTTTTTTCCTATTTATCTCAGATACCTCTGATGTAAAGCACATCAGTGATGATAAATTATTTTTCTCGTGTCAAATTAGGTCTTTATAAAGAACACAATTCAAGAGAAGATGAGAATACACTAAACGTACACCATAAATACACTTTATCCATGTGAGAAGGAAAATGTGCCTCATTTTCTGTTTAAACTAGTAATTAGGCAATGGGTGACCATTTAATGTCTCTGGAACTGTATTATTACGTTTTACATTTACACTGTGGTAGTATGTAGAAGTCCAAGGCAGTTCAAAGACCCGAAGTGTGTATAATTAACATTTTTGTTACTAAAGAAGAGGTTAACACTTGAAGTGGAGGATGTCAGCCAGTGGGTGTTTTCTCTTTTCAGTATAAAAGTGTAGGAAGTGTTTAGCTAACATAAGATTAGTAGGACTTATCTGAAGAAAACCCCCCACTCTATTTTAAACATGATGGCTTTAAAATAAACTGTTACTAGGGTCATGGAAGAGCTTGTCTGAAAAGGTTCAAATAGTTACAAGAATTTGAGATTGAGTCCAGACTCCCTAGATCCTTCTGTAAATATGAAAATAGCCAACTTCTGTGTCACAAATGATAGCAGGGTCATGATAGGAGATTTCTATCCTGTCCAGTGAAAAAGGAAGATAAATATTGGCATTCAAGTACTAACTTAAATAATGTTGGAGCTGTTTCATTCCCATATAATGTATTTAAACAAGACGCTGATTTTTTTTTTAATGAAACAAAACATTGAGACTTAGTAAAAGCTACTCTATAAATAACTACCTAGTTTTGAATATTTCTTTTTCCCTCCTCATCCTTAAGCAGGAGTTAGAAATGCAGAAGCTATTTTGTCCAGCATACGATGGCAACCAAAGTGCACAACCAGAAAGATACTTTAATGAGAGTCTCAATTTCTGGAGTGCTTTTCTTTTGGAAGGAACTTCACAAAGTTCAAAATCAGTCATCTTGGGGGTGAAGGGCTGCAACTAACAGACACATACCACAATAGAAGGTGGAAATATTGAAGGAAATCCCCACTTTCCAGCAGTACCATAGAGTGTGAGAGGACCTCAGGTTTTATAGGTGCTTTCCAAGACACCTTGTACATTAAATTGAGCTGCATGCATCTCATTCCCTCTGAAAGATGAAGCCTGATTCAACTCTGCCAGGTGTTTCAAGGACTGCATTCTGACCTGATATTGAGATCTCTAAGCTGTTCTCTCGCCCATTTAGAGGAAGACATGACCAGCAGGGTTGTATAGAAATATTAGACCAGGGCTTAGCAATGTTTTTGGCCAGAATGCCAAAAACATCCCCAACCTCAACTTCTAAGATGATGGTGTGCCAGGGGAGGATAGCAGGGGAGCCACGAAGGGCCCGATCCTTTTTGTGGCAGCATAGCCCCGGCCCCTTCCCTGCCGTCCACCCTGAGGCATGCGTGCCAAGCAAAATGCGTTCACACATCATGCTCTGGCACCTGTGGTAGGGGTTGCCTGCCCCTGTGCTAGAAGTAACATCGGAGGAGAAATATGCCCATGAAATATATTTTCCATGTGTATAATTTTACGTAAGTATTTTAGGAATAAGTAAGAATCATAACTTGGACTAACACTGGCTAGAACTTAGATGGTTTACAAGATGCTGTATTATCGCACGCTGCTTGCTCTATGATCTTCCTTATCAGAAACATCTTCCTGCTCTAGCAGGAAGTTAGTGGTCAGTGCAGTGTAACCTGCACAGCGTTTGTAAAAGCTATTGTTTCTCCTGCAGAAATGCTTTGCAACTGCTTATTCAATTAAATCTCCTTTTTGTCCTGTACCTGACAGTCAAGTAAAGGAACATCCAATAGTGCTGATGCTTTCTGCTGTAGTTCAGGATTTAATTTCTGATGCAGGTTTCTCACTCCAAGGCTATCTCTGAGTGCACAGCTTGGTAAAAGGGCATGTTCAGCATCTTATCACTCTGGGTGCCCAGTCTGGCTGTTTAAGGAGTGACCCTATCAGTCTCCACATGAAGTCCCTTCCAGTTCTGTGTGGCCAGAATGATGATTGCCATCAAGCTTTGAGAAAATTTTTAAATGAAGGCGTAGGAGGGACTGATTTCTTAATGTTTCGAAAGGGCCGAAACATGGGCCCAGGAAGAAGAGTCGTGAGAAAAAATGAAAATCTGTAAAATGTTGAGCCACATTTCATGCTTGATTCATCTCTGCCAGAAAGTTAGTTTCCCAAAACTTCCCAAA